CAAAATTGTCCCCCCTGGATCAAAGAAGTTTGTTTTTTTAGCTAGGCCTATCTTATCTTACCGATATAGATCTAGATCTACCCTGTGTCCTATCTTTTTTGTTTTTTCTGCACTAAAAGTTACGATCTCCAATTTAAACCACAATTGTGAAGTGAGACTACTTCGGTGTTTCTCTGTGTAGGCCTATGAGTAAAGTTACCCCCCCCCCCTCCCCCACCCAACCTTTCTTTTCGTGTAGAACTAATGACTGTATTTTAAAAAAAGGTCTACAAGTATAGATCTAGTAGCCTACTGATATGTCAAACTGAAAAGAGTAGATTCTAATACATGTACATGTAGGCTACATGTAATATGTAGTTTGGACGGGTTGCTTTGACACCGATCGAGCCCTTGCTGCAACAAATTTGTGGGACATGTATGAATTTGTTTTGGCCGTTTGTCTTGAATAAAACCTGGCAAACATAACGTCGAGACTACACTGCAGTGAACTGCAGTCTGTCTGCTTACCTGCAGCTGTTGGCTTTTGTGTTGTGTGTAGTGTGTAAGCCTTGGCTACTTGTTTCTAGGAACACTAGGCTACACACCTTGTGTTGCGAGGAATTTCATGCAACCAAGAGTCTTTCTACGCCGGTGTAGTCATTGAACAAGTATTTTGCTTCTCTGATTACCCTGTCCTCTATGTGTACATCTAGACTCTAGATCAAGATTCTAGAGATCTAGAAATCTAGTTGTTATGTATATATATATCTAGATTCTATATAATAAATGAATAAAAGCAAGCGGCTAACATTAACAACACTAACTAACAGATTATAAACAGACAGTCGTGGAAGCTGTCGGTGAGTTCTGGTAGTCACTGGTAGATTAGTAGACTTAGATATCTAGATCTACATCTAGTTATTATTAGATCTAATAGATTTAGATCTGGAATATAGGTCTAGAATCTAGTAAAGTAAGTTTTAAGGTAAGGCTAAGGTCGGGTGCCCGTCCACCATTAGGATTAGATCTTGGCCTTCAGAAAGCCAGAGCCATGGCATAGCAGCTATTTGAGATCTAGATCTAGTTCTATCTCAAGTTAGTAGAGATCTTCTATGAGTCAAAATTTTGGTGCTTTTTTTTAGATAGTTCCCACACCCCTTATTTGAGCCTAGATCTACATCTATAAATCTAGGTCTACGTTTGATGCGCGGCAAGCTAAGACGCTAAGATATCAAATCTAACAACTGCAAAACATCAAATTATGGTGAAATCATGCCTCCCCTGAAACCCCCCACCTTACACCCCCTACTCTTGGGGCCAAAACCGGCGAATAACAATTGCGGGGTGGGAGCTACCGGAAAAGCGCCAAAATTGGCTCGCTGCGCATCAAACGTATAGGATAGGTCTAGATCTAGATGTGTAGATCTAATCTTAACTTAAATAAGGGGGGTGGGAACTACCGAAAAAGCACTCAAATTTTTTGGGGGGATTACAATAATTACATAACGAGTTAAACGAGTGACCACTATTATGAAACAAAGTAGAATCTAATAGAGAGTTTGGGGTAGGGGTGGGGGTAAGGGTAGGTGTTACTGTTAGGGGTTGGGCCAGGGTAAGGTCAAGGATTGGTAAGGTCTCTTGTGTTTGTTGGGGTGGTCGCTCGTTACGGAAGTCCTTCCGAAATTTTGAAAGTATCGGCATGACCGACAGAATTGGACGCAGCACCAGACTTAGATCTATCTAGATTCAAGATCGAGAGTATAGATATTATCATCTCAGTATGCTTTTATAGACTTCATTCAACATTTTATTCTTGCTAATGCGTCTGGTGGTCCAAGAACTATATATTCTCTCCCCCCCCCCCTTTCAACTTTTCACTGATCCCCCCTCTGAGCTGACGCATTGCGAACTAGATCTAATCTAGCTACCAACTAGCAAATAAGCACCTCCGCTTGTGTAACTCTTGAATGAAAAAAAAGAAAAAGAGTTTTTATATTTACCAGAAATGGCAACTTTCAGACTGTCACCAAAGATTTTTCAGATTAAATCTTAGCTGTCACTGAAAGAAACGAAAGTTTAATGCGAAACGCAACGGAAACCGTTAAAAATTTTTATTCACATGACCGGAATCGATCTAACACCAATGAATAACGAATTGACGAAACCAGGGGCTTTGTCAGGGGTGGGCGCTAGTCGATACTGGCTAATATCGAGTACTTTATCGACTAAGAGGGCCCTTGATATCGACAAAGATTATACATTTCACAAGATAGCCTAGTTCACTCCTCTCTTTGAGCCAACTAAAAAAGTATCCTGAAAGTCCGGTGGCGCCCTCTTAGAAAAAGTGCGAACTTTGCGTACAGTACCCTGCTTATATATATATATGAAAAACATAAACTTTTGAAATAGTTCTGGGCCCTTTTCCTTGATTAAGAAAAAAAAAATTGTCTCTTGTGTTTCAGTTGCAGTTGCAGTGTAAAGCAAGGTTACCCAAAATGGTGCAAGAGGTGGAGAACTTTTACGGAGTTTATCTGCTGTATTGCATGAACCCTAAATACCAAGGTCGCACCTACATTGGCTACACGGTGAATCCTAATAGAAGAATCAAACAGCACAACACAGGAGCTCATGCTGGAGGAGCGTACAGGACAAGTGGGAGGGGACCATGGTAAGGAGAGTTGCAAACAGGAATTCATGTTGGGTTGAGGACTGCATTTTAAGAAATTTCCTAGACGGATTCTGGAAATGTTCAGGGATCACAATTTTACCTGGGCCGTTGGCTTGAAAACTCTGTCATCAGACTTGATCCTGTTAATGGGTTTGGCATGTCATTTGGTAGGCCAACCTTGAAAGTCATATTTCTGGTAGCAGCTGTTTGTGTCATTGGTTTTAAAGTTTAGACCTTGTGCAAGTAAAAAGTGAATACAGAAGGTCTGTTTTGTTTTTTTGTTTTTTGTTTCTCTTGGGTTTCTAGGACAGTTAGTCTCGTTTAATTTAATGTAATTGTAGTTGATGCAGACATCTTCTTATGTAATTTGCTATCTTGTGAGTTCTGGAAGTCTAATTTAGGCCAGCCAACCTATAATTATGAGGTTGTTGGTTCGGGCTTTGTCCATGGGAAAGGCACTTCACATGAATTTTCACATTTGCCATGACCCTCTATTGCAACTTGACGTTAAATTTAGAGGTCCTGCCTCTCAAATAACCTATGCTGTTTCAAGAGGCGTTAAGCCCAGACAATTTCGCATAATTTACGATTGTAAAAATTAGGGTATCTCTTCCTTCCCTATCATCCCTCTCTCTTCCCTTCTATCCCTGTCCTCTTTCTCTTTGTTTTACCTCTGCGTCTCTCTCTTTGTGTGTGAGTGTTGGTGTAGGTCTAGGTCTAGATCTTCTTAAATGCTTGGTCACTATTTTTTCTTCTTTTTTTCCCCCTTTATAATGTAATTTTGTGACGTGTTTGTTTTTGTCAGGCATACAGAGGCCAAAACTATTATTTTATGATTAATTGTTAAGTAAGAAACAATATCCTTGTATTGCAGGGAGATGATCTTGATTATCCACGGATTTCCAAATGATGTATCTGGTCTTCGGGTAAGTTAGTTTCTTGTCAATGCAGATGATACAGAGTCATCAGTTGTTCGTCAACCGTGTCTCATTTGTTACTTTTTAATGAATGTTTTGGGTAAGTAAATTCAGAATAAGGGATCATTTTGCTCTGTAGGTGAATGACAGTTTTTGTTACTTATAATCTTGATATTTATTTTATCACTTTTATATTTACAGTTTATAATTAAGTTTGGTGCTGGTTTCGTTGGTGGTCTTGCAATGTTTTTGGTTTAGTTGACAGTCTACCACCAGACTGGTGTGACAACTGGTTTAGTTGATGGTCTTCTGCGATATTTCTTGTCCTCTCACCGAACCATTCTGACAACTTGTGACAAGGACCAGTTTACATAATTTCTATCCTGGCTTGGGACCGTCATTGGTTGTGTTTGAAACATTTTGTTTTGCAGTCGTAGTTTACATTTTCTGTCTGCATTTATACAGGCTTGGGACTCTCATTGGCCATGTTAAAAAATTTCATCTTGTGGGGTTTCAAAATGCAATGAATGAAACATTGAATCTCTCTGTCTCTTTTTCTACAATCTGAAGTGTAGTTCAGTCCGACCAATCAAAATGGAACATGATCTCATTCTAAATACGTCATACATACATACCTCCACCTTTGATCTGTCCTCCCATCTTTGGTCTAAATACATTCAAGGCCTGGCTGTCAACGTCTGGTCACTTGCTGTCATGACTTACTTTTCGTAATCTTATTGCAAAATCTTTTGATGCAAACATGCTATGGACATCCCATCTGGTTACTTGCTGTCTGAACTGGCTTGTGAATCATAATTTTTACCACCGGAAATTTATTTGATCTAAATAACACTGCAAAATGAAGCAATCCACCCACCCATACACCGCAAATGTCAATGCCACAGTCTTTGACCTGAATGCCCCCAGCGCTGTCATTACCATGGCCAATCAGATGGGACTTAAGTTATGCTTGACGGCCTAGATCTCAGTAGGCCGTGGTCAATTGGGCAGGACTTACGGTAAACCACCACATCATGGTAGACCAGCAACTAAACCAGCACCTTGATTCTCTAAATAAAGTATAATTTTACTGCTTTCTCATCTTCTAAAAATCTAACATTCATATTTTGTGCAAATTTTCATTTTAGTTTGAATGGGCATGGCAGCATCCAGACAAGTCTCGTAGGTTGAAAGGTGTAACTGGTAAATCGAGAAAAGAAACGCAGTATGAGTTCAGATGGAGGGTGGTGTGCAACATGCTGAGAACAGCTCCCTGGTCTGGGTTGAGCCTCACAGTCCGCTGGCTGAAACAAGATTTTTATAGGGAATTCCCGTCTGGTGAGTATTTGGTGTCCTTGAAGACGGGTCAGTCACTTCCAAGTCTCTTGTTTCAGTTTTTACCTGTTACTTCTTAAACGCTTTATCTCAGGGGGGGG